CCTTTCCCAGACCCCGGGCGTCATGATTCTTCATGGCGCAACCCCCGAAGTGCCTGGACCCACTCCCCGGGACCGGTTTTTCGTCCTGAGTCGTGTTGTGACGGCCCAGCGGGCGGGTGAGGGCCCCTTATGGAGGCCGACGCTGGCGAAAAGGCCTCCCTCGAGGGGGGGCTGCGCACCTGGAACCGCAGGAGCTCCGCCCCCCTCCCCCCGGCGAAGAAGAGCCCCTCGGCAAGGAGCGGCCGCGCGCCCGCAAGATCCCCCTCTCAGAAGCTCGCCCGCGCCTGGCCAGCGAGGGGGCCCCCCGAGATGCCACCCCGGTGCCCGCCTCCGGCGCTGGGCCGCGCCAGCCTGGGCGGCCTGTGCGCCTCGCCAGCAGCCTCCTCCCGCAGCCCTCCCTCGTCCCTGCCTCGTCGTCGTGGTGGTGGGGGGTTTCGTCGTCTGAGAAGAAGAACCAGTCCTCCTCCTTCTCTCCTCCCCCCCCTCCTTCATCCTCCCTCCTCCTTCCTCCTCCTCACCAATCATCACATCAGCATCATCATCCCCTTACATCAGTCCTTTCTAGCTCATCCTCTGTCCCCCTCCTCATCCGTCCCTCCCAATTCCCTGGGTTACAAAGTGGTTCACCTCCTCCTCCATCCTCCTCCTCTCCTCCTTTTTCGCCTCCTTTTCCTCCTCTTCTCCTCCTTCTCCTCCTCCTCATCCGCCTCCTCCTCCTCCGCCTCATCTCCTCATCCTTCAACTCCTCCTCCTCCAACTCCTCCTCTTCCCCCTCCAGCTCCTCCTCCTCCTCGTCCTCCTCCCTTTTCTCCTCCTCCTCCTCCTCGTCCTTCTTGTCCTCCTCCTGCTCCTCCTTGTCCTGTTCATCCTGCTCCTCTTGTTCTCCAACTCCTCCTCCTGCTCCTCCTCCTCATCATCATCAGCATCATCAGCAGCAACATCATCATCAGCATCATCATCAACATCATCATCATCATCAGCATCATCAGCATCAGCATCATCGTCGTCATCATCATCAGAAGCATCAGCATCACCATCATCATCGGCAACATCATCATCGTAAGCATTATGATCATCACCATCATCAGTATCATATTCATCTTCTTCATCATCATCTTCATCACCATCATAATCATCATCACCATCAGCATCACCATCATCATCACCATCACCATCATCATACTCATCATCGTCATCAGCATCATCATCATCAGTAGCAGCATCACCATCATCATCATCAGCATCATCATCATCATCATCATCATCATCATCATCATCATCATCATCATCATCGTCATCAGCATCATCATCATCCTTCTCCTCCTCCTCGTCCTCGTCCTCGTCCTCGTCCTCCTCCTCGTCCTTCTCCTCCTCCTCCAACTTCTCCTCCAACTTCTCCTCCTCCTCCTCTCCTCCTCCTCCTCCTCCTCCTCCTCCTCCTCCTTCTCCTCCTCCTCCTCCTCCTCCTCCACCTCCTCCTCCTCCTCCTCCTTCTCCTCCTCCAGCTCCTCCCCAAACATGGTCGCGTCCCGAACAACATCGGGACGGGAAGTTGTTGGCCGTGTTGGGCCTCTGGGGGCCCTTACCGGGCCCCAGGACCGTCAACAAAAACGGCGCAGAATGAAAAACGGGTCCTGGAGAAAGGGTCAGGACTTCCGAGAACGCCATACTGAAAACATCGGGACATCGCATGTCGGGCTCCTCGTCCCTTGCCATCCGAATCCTCTTCCTCCTCCTCTCCCACTCCTCCTTCAGCTGGCCGCGCGCACACGGGGGTAGCGGGAGGGGGAAAGACTTCTCAAAGGAGGCTGGTTCCAAGAAGGCGCGGGCCCTAAGTCTACAGACGCGACCCGCGCCTTCTAAGAAACAGCCTCCTTTAAGAAGCCTCCCCCTCCCCCATATCCCCCTTCCGCGCGTGGCTGATTCTGGGGAAACCCAAACAAGTACCGATACTGCTACTCCCCAGACCTCTCCCGCGGTGCGTTCTGACCAGGATCTCGAGGCGAATTCAGCGGTGGCGATGAGGGCCTCTGAGGAGGCCCCAACAAGGGGAAACGAGGCAGGAGTAGAAGCATGGGTACCTTTTCTTCCTCGAAGATTCAGCTCCGCCTCCTGCCCCCCTCTCTCGGGTGCGGGACGGGGGGTCGACGCCCCACTTGGGAAGGTGGCGAGAAGGAGGGCAGGGCAGGGAGGGAGGGACGGTATAGCGCAGCAGCGGCGGCGAGACCGTCAACAGAAACTAGAGATCCCCCCTTTGCAAAACTGGGTTCTGTTCTGTCGTCCCTCCTCATCCCCATCCCCTCTTCCTCCTCCTCCTCCTCCTCCCTCATCCTCCTCCTCCTTCTCCTCCTCGTCCTTCTCCTCGTCCTCCTTCTCCACCTCCTCATCCTTCTCTTCGGCATCACCTACCATCTGCATCCTCCTCCTCCTCCTCCTCCTCCTCCTCCTTCTCTCATCATCATAATATCCTCCTCCTTCTCATCCCTTTTCTCCTCTTCCACTGTTGGCGCGCTTGAGCCAAGAGGGCGCCAGCTGGCTTACGCGCGCCAGCAGTGGCGCAATCCGTATGGCACCGATCCGTCCCGACAACAAGCAGACTTGAGCAGTGCTTTGCGCAAGGACCGACCGCCCCGACATTCCTGTATGCCTACCACGGCATGTTCTTAGAATCCGGAAATGTTCCAAGAACAGAGACACTGCTATCATATCATAAGCCCGATGTGTTAAAACATGAATCGTCCCAACCAGAAATGTTATAACAAACGGTTATTCGAACATTGTTTGGTAGGCCGATAGGCACGGTTCCAGGGGCCGTCGACAAGCGACTCGAGAGGAAGAGCTGGTCCTGGGGCAGCGCCCCAACGTCTGAGACCCGCCCTCCTCGGGCCTGCCTTCCCTGATAGCGACGTCGGGCCCCCCTGGTGCTCTCGTGTCCCCCCTCCCGCTCTGCCACTTTTCTGCGCGGCCAGCAGGCTGGCTCAACACAAACACAGCGAAGTCTGGCGCGGCCGGGACTCCTCCTCTATTCGCCCTGCTCCCACCCGATGCCCCCCCCCCATCCTCGTTCCTCCCTCCTCTTTCGCCTGGCCCTTTCCCTTCCAACCTCATTCCCCCCCCTCATTACTCGTCCATCCTCCCGCCTTTTCCCCCCTTCTCTGCTGCCTCATGCCGCCACCGCCTGCCATCCCCGTTCCTGCCAGGGGAGTCAGCATGGCTGCCGCACCCCTACTCCAGAGCCCACTGGTGCGTTCGAGATCCCATGAGAAGTAATCTCGACGCTCCTCGCGCGCACCAGTTCACTATGGATGGCAAGGGGTCAACGGCCTCCTCGGTGTGCGCGCGAACAATTTTCGGCACGTGACCGCACGTGCTTTGTCCATTTAAATGCCCGTCCGCTAATTATTCAAGACGAGCTTCCGCAACACCACAACGAGAATTCCATTATGAAAACAATTCGCCCTCCATCCGTGTGCCTGTACGGAGGGAGTATCAAGGCGAAGCGCCCTGCACGCCCTAGCGACACGACTAGTGGTGCGGCAGGGGAGGGGCATGCATGCGTAAGGGGAGAAGTGAGTTAGGGGGACGATTTCGGAGGCAACTCCTTGCAGGCCTTCGTAAGAAAGATGAAGGGAGATCAAACCTGATTGAGGGCCACTAAGCCCGATCAGCGCCATATTAAGCCCAATAACATCGTATGGAGCCGGATTAGGCAGTACGCAATGGAATGCAACAGGACTGTGCCGGATCAGGCTGGGCTTCCACCGCGGATATAGCGGCACCGATGCTGAACCTCCCAGGATTAGCATCCCAACAGGCGGAACAGAAAGGAGATGCGAGGCGGACGTCCTGGGATGGGACGGAGGAGAAAGGCAAGGCCAGCGAGCACAGCGATGATGCTGGCGACGAAAACGGCGGCGGAGGTTGAGGCTGCCCAACTGGGGCCAGAGCAGACGGGGG